TATTAAAAACATCTAGTAAAAGTAAAGTTTCCCTTTCAAACCTGACGGTCTATGGGGCAAGTGAAGTAGAGTTCACTTGTTTCTGTGACCTCGGCATATGAAGAGATAGTGTGGACAGCACTATGCCCAGCCGCCTTTACTCTTCCTAACGTGAGTTAGGTACCCATCAGAGTTGGGTGGACTCAGGGACGGTCTACTGACTTGAACCCGGATTCGAATTCGAGACTTACGGGTTAGCAGTCCAGCTCTCTACCGCTAGACCACTCCGTCCCCGCTAGACCACTCCGTCCCCATCTAGCTAGTAAGAAATGTATGCAATTAATAATCCATAAGAACTCATACATTGGAATGTGCATGATAGAATGACACTGAATTGAAAGGCATACTTTATTTTAAACAAGACGCTGCTATTGTAAATTTTAGAAGTAATAAAACTTATAATAACCTGTATTTTGATTTAGTGTGGGATGGAAGATCTCTACTTGAATATTGTTTTGAGAGAACACTAAGATCACCCTCTCCTTTACCACGGCCTTCTTTGGCTGTATCCCATGTTGCTCTAGCAGCTGTTGTCATCTTGATATGTCAGGTGCTTTACTTAAATTGTTTAAAGATTGTATTGTTTAATCTTTAAAATTAGATTTTTTTTTAATCTTTAAAATTAGATGGAAGGGGATTTACACAAAACTAAACAAAGAGTTTTATCACTTTTAATAAAGCAGTTACAATATATAAGTAATTTTGAATGTTACAAAGTAAATGCTTTTGTACCGTACATAATTTGAAATTAAAAATTGTTGATCCAAAACTATCATTAAATTTAATAGATTTTTTTGTTTAGTATTATATTGCACTTTTTACGTTAAATTTTAATTCAATTATTTTCTTTTCTAGAGAATTCTGTATGCATTTATCAGCCATGTTATGATTTGTCCTCCTTGAGTTATTGTATACTTAATATGGGAGGCAATTTAAGTCGTCGCTTGCGAAAGTTATTATCCATTTATCTAACAACAATTACCATTAGTTTTATTATATTCGCTACCGATAATCAGTCAAATCTTCATCAAGTGTTTATAATTAGAAATTATGTTACACGTCTGCCATGTTTAGAAATTCGCCAATTACTGTAAACCAAAAGGTTAATAACAAATCTATATATATAATTCTCTTCTTCGAGCCGTTAGAAAACAAGCTGCAAACGCTCTCCCTACCTCCCCACCCCTACATGGTTTTAGTGAGCTGTGTTCACTCTAAATGTTTACAAGCAGAGCCAACGATTTTAAACGTAGGGGGGGGAGGGGGGGGGAAGGAAGGGGGGGGGGGGGTTATGGTCCTTAACGAGCTACTTATAGTGTTTTAAAGAAATATTTTCAGTGTCAGCGTTGGTACTGTCGAATTCACAAATTATGAATTATTGAAAATTAGAAACAACTAAATAGCGGCGTATGTTATGCCGCGGGCCGGCTCGTTTCTTTATAAAACTAGTCCTAAAGTGTTTGAGAAAGCTGTACGTGTTTAATACTTAAAACTAACAAGGCTTGTTTACATACTTTAAACAATGTAACAATCCGTTCCTGGTGTTGACATGAAATAATAGATAGTGTTAACCTAATTTCCCGCAGGAGTCCACTGTTACCTGGGACCAACCCTATCTCCTACCCACCCCCACCGACGATATCCGCACATATATACAAGTCGCTTTAAACTTAGATAGGGGTCATCCATTTATGATGTCCACAAACATTTGGGGATTTTAGACACCCCCCCATCTTCCCCCTGTCCACATGAGTCCACTTTCGACGAGCCCCCCCCCCCCCACCAGAGGCGTAGCGACCTTTCCTGGCGCCCGGGGACAAACTATTCGATTTGCACCACCCCCCTCAAGATTTCGATTTGCACCCCCCCCCCTCAAACTTTCGATTTGCAACCCCCCCCCCCCCTTCAAACTTTCAATTTGCATCCCCTCAACCTATCAATTAATTTTTCCAACCCATTTGGGCGCCCCCTAAGGTCGGCGCCCGGGGACATATGTCCTCCCCCCCCCCCCTCGCTACGCTACTGCCCCCCACCTCATCGTGGACGTCCACAAAAATTTGTCAGGCCTCTCACATGCTGCAAAATTCCTAATTCATTTACACGCAATGTGTACATTAACTAATAATGTAATATAGGCATTTGATATTTTCGGTAACATCTATTACTAGACCTAAAGTAATAATTCTGAGTTAAACTTTTTCAACATGTCCGTAATTCAACGGCGTGTTAACTTACGTACGAATGTGCTAAGACTATTTAAAATTGTTCTTTATTGAAAGACTGATCGCGCTGGGACGCTGTGTACCCTGTCTCTCGATTTTAAAACTTATTTTACCCACTATTTTTATAGTCAGAGATTGCAGGTAGTCATGTATCTTTTTTTTTAATTGAAGATGCTGTAGACCGAACTTTTAACTGTCATTTGTGGCTGTCTAGCTATCAGCGACTATATGGGTTCGGGTAAATTCGGCTAATCAATATGACGTCATTATATTACTTTTACTCAACTTGACGCTGCACGTGTTTCCATAACAAACCGTCTCTCCCCCTTGTGTGTGCTCGCTCTGACCTTACGACCTACACACCTGACCAAGCGTGCACATTATACACGCGCTGATATTTAAATATCTCATTGTAACATGTTTGTTTGAGTTTTTAATTGAAATAAGACTAGATCTACATCATCTTACGCTTTGATTTGACACAAAATAATGATATAGGTCTATTATGATTTAGATACAATTGTTTAAAAAAAAAACTTGTAATACCGCAGCCCCATCCCAGATAATACAAAAAGCAACTAAAACTCGACCATGAACCCCCCCCCCCCCAAAAAAAAAAACACACCAAAAACAAATTGTTTTACACATTCGCTATCGTTCAACATTGTTTGATTAAGCGCGGATCTCTAATTAATCATGAATAATTTGAAGTTATTTAGATTTTTATTTTAAATGAGGACACATCTAAAAACAATTAATTTGTACCTAACGTCGGATTTTAAGATTAAAATATTTTTCAGAGTTAAAAAAGGTGAAGGTTTTTTTTATATATTTTAAGACGTAGTTCAAATCACACACGATTGTGTCAAAACCTTTGGATAAAATGGATGATCTGTCAGGTTCAAATCTCTATAGAACCCCGGTAAGCCGCGAGAAAGAACGAGACTAACGGAGAGAATATCGCGTCTTTTGGCCCAGTCACGGCCCGCGGCTCAATCCATCATGTCGTCACGGACAACGATTTGACAAGCGGGGTCCCAGTACAGAACAGCTTTGATATCACTGGTGTAATTTATGTCCTCGTTCAAACCAGTTTTTAAAACAGTTCAAAGGTTCTCAAACTTACAACATATTTGGTGTTCATTGTTGTAATTCGGTATCCTTATGAGCATGATGTGTTTTGCTTATTTTCGATTATTTCAATAAATGTTGTTTAAAGTAGTTTTTACGCGCTAAAGAAACTATTGATTATGCAAACATTTAATATAGAAGAAAAGTTTGCTATTGTGTGTGTGTGGGGGGGGGGGGGGGGGGGGGAGGGTGGAGAAAGAGAGAGTCATCCATACATGATGTCATACATTTTGGACAATTTTTACATCCCCCCCTCCCCGCGTTTACACATTGACACAACACGTTTCATCCCCCATCCTTAACATGACGTCACACCCAGGCTTACGACCCACCTCCCATAAGTTTTATTTTATTTTGTAAACTTCGATATATATATATATATATATATATATATATATATATATATATATATATAGGCCTATATATATATATGTGTGTGTGTGTGTGTGTGTATGTATGTACGTATGTGTAGTTTAACTGCATTTTTATTTTATTTTTAACAACGAATATTTTTAAATCTAATACAAATTTGACAAGAAATATTTTTGTTTCAGCTTGAAGTCAGCCCTACTTCACACGTAACGAACCTTGACAGAAATCAATCGTAAAACATATTTTTCTTTGTGAGCTGAGATATTCTGACCCTCGGGGGTGGTGGTAGGGGAGGGGGGGGGTAAAGCCGTCAGTTTGTCGACCCTGCCCTACGATTTATGAGGGAGCTGGTGTCCTCACGACTCACGACTGGTCTATAAAAGGTCGGGTCAAACATTTTTTTATGACACGAGGTCCGGTCTGTCAGCGTAGGTAGCGACCTGGTTGCTTGACATTCTTCATGTGTTTGGTTCTTCTGGAGTTTTGAGATTGTGCTTCTCACTTTCTTCTGATTTTTTTTCTTTTTTTTTTTTTTTTTTTTTTTTTTTTTTTTGGAGAAACTTTTGTCGGTTTTTTTGTCTAACAAAGAGTCTAATTTTGTGATAAAATGTATAGTGTTTACATCGTAACATGAAACATATTTTTCTGTTTACCATTACATGCTTCTTCCTCTTCTTTCTATGTTCTTAATTTTTAGTGTTGGAATGGATCGAGCCTTATCTGCCAGAGGGTTTGAACTCGAGATTTTTTTCGAATTTATAAGATTTTTTGTGTGTTTATCATTACATGCTGAGAGTCGATGATTTTATACTATCTTCAACTAAATATACATACAGTCGACATTAACTTATATTCTCGTTATCTTTATCAAATTGTGTGTTTTATTTAACAAAAATAGTTTTAAATTAGGAAATTTATTTAATATAGTTTTATTCAAGAAATTATATATATATATATATATATATATAAATATATATATATATATATATATATATATATATATATATATATATATATATATATATATATATATATATATATTTACAAGATATAAGTGCCGTAACTATTTCTTTAAAACTGGCTCTTCTTTCTTAAAAGTCTTAATTTTACTTAACGCTCTAACAATAATTAGACGATCTCTCTTTGTATTCTTACTCTCTTTATTTACCATAAAATATATTACCGAATATGATGATTATTGCAAATTTAATATGTTTTTTGTATACCAACAGATAATCCACACAAATAACAGCAGCCATGGCCAAAAACTTGATAGCCGCTCTTGTGTTAGCTCTGGTTGTGTGTGGTGAGTACTCGTATGTGTGCTCAGTGGTGTGGACGTGGTTTCTTTACAGGAGGGTGTTACAAAATATGTTCATATACATGTGACGTGGTTTGCCTAAAACGAGAATGTGTAGGTAGAGCGTGTGTGTGTGTGAGAGTGGCCTCCCTTTGAAAGTGGTGTGCTAGTGAGAGGCAGTGTGTGTGGACGTGAGTGTGTATGGAGGAATGTTGTGTGACGTCAACACAGTGTAATGATTCGTTAGTTTTCTTTCCATTTTTGTTCGTGTGGTTGGTGAAGATTACACGTAAATGGTGTAGATTCTCTATATTTATTTTTGATTTAAACATATATATCTTTCACGTTCTTGCACATTTCTTTTTGCAAATTGCTTTTTGCATATTGCTTTTTGCACGTTGCTTTTTGCATATTGCTTCTTGCTCATTGTTTATTGTACACTGCTTCTTGCTTGTAAATTGCTTATTGCACATTGCTTCTTGCACATAGCTTCTTGCACATTGCTTCTTGTACCTTGCTTCTTGCACATTGCTATTATATACGATAACGCAGCGCCATTACCTGAGTTGACGTACAAAACTCACGCCCTTCTCTTCATCATTCACTTCCATCGTGTAAAGTTGTTATATCCATCATCCACATCCATCGTGTAAAGTTGTTATATCCATCATCCACATCCATCGTGTAAAGTTGTTTGTTATATCCATCATCCACATCCATCGTGTAAACTTGTTTGTTATATCCATCTTCCACATCCGTCTTGTAAAGTTGTTTGTTATATCCATCATCGACACCCATCGTGTAAACTTGTTTGTTATATCCATCTTCCACATCCGTCTTGTAAAGTTGTTTGCTATATCCATCATCCACATCCATCGCGTAAAGTTGTTATATCCATCATCCACATCCATCGTGTAAAGTTGTTAGTTATATCCATCATCCACATCCATCGCGTAAAGTTGTTATATCCATCATCCACATCCATCGTGTAAACTTGTTTGTTATATCCATCTTCCACATCCGTCTTGTAAAGTTGTTTGTTATATCCATCATCGACATCCATCGTGTAAACTTGTTTGTTATATCCATCTTCCACATCCGTCTTGTAAAGTTGTTTGTTATATCCATCATCCACATCCATCGTGTAAAGTTGTTTGTTATATCCATCATCCACATCCATCGTGTAAAGTTGTATGTTCTATCCATCATCCACATCCATCGTGTAAAGTTGTTTGTTATATCCATCATCCACATCCATCGTGTAAAGTTGTTTGTTATATCCATCATCCACATCCATCGTGTAAAGTTGTTTGTTATATCCATCATCCACATCCATCATGTAATGTTGTTTGTTCTATCCATCATCCACATCCATCGTGTAAAGTTGTTTGTTATATCCATCATCCACATCCATCGTGTAAAGTTGTTTGTTATATCCATCATCCACATCCATCGTGTAAAGTTGTATGTTCTATCCATCATCCACATCCATCGTGTAAAGTTGTTTGTTATATCCATCATCCACATCCATCGTGTAAAGTTGTTTGTTATATCCATCATCCACATCCATCGTGTAAAGTTGTTTGTTATATCCATCATCGACATCCATCGTGTAAAGTTGTTTGTTATATCCATCATCCACATCCATCGTTAAGGTTGTTTGTTATATCCACATCCATCGTGTAAGGTTGTTTGTTATATCAATCATCCACATCCATCGTGTAAGGTTGTTTGTTATATCCACATCCATCGTGTAAGGTTGTTTGTTATATCAATCATCCACATCCATCGTGTAAGGTTGTTTGTTATATCCATCATCCACATCCATCGTGTACATTTTTTGTTTTATCCATCATCCACATCCATCGTGTGAAAGTAGTTTGTTATATCCATCATCCACATCCATCGTGTAAAGTTGTTATATCCATCATCCACATCCATCGTGTAAAGTTGTTTGTTATATCCATCATCCATCTCCATCTTGTAAAGTTTGTTAATCTACCCCCAGCCCTGGCAGACGAGCGTTACTACCACCCCAACCGCTGCGACTACGCCTGCCCCCTCATCTACGACCCCGTGTGCGGCACCAACGGCGTCACCTACTCCAACACCTGCGTCTTAAACAGGACCAACTGCAACAGACCCCCCTGGCTGTGGGTCCGGGTCTGGTACCGTGGGGTCTGCAGGAGACAGGGGATTCCAATCCCATACTAGACTTTGTAAGTAGCAGATCTGGGTCTTTGGAACTTTGACCACAGGTGCTTTGACCATAGGGGCTTTGACCATAGGGGGTTTGACCACAGCGGGGCTTTGACCATAGCGGTGCTTTGACCATAGGTGGTTTGATCATAGGGGGTTTGACCATAGGAGGTTTGACCATAGCGGGGCTTTGACCACAGGTGTTTTCTCAGCAGAGGGATCACAGGTGGTCTATCAACGGCTGGTCAAAGCATCGCTATGGTCAAAGCCCCGCTGTGGTCAAACCCCCTATGGTCAAAGCACCTGTGGTCAAAGGTCCGCGCACCCAGATCTGATATAATCCCATATTAGACTGTGTAAGTAGCAGATCTGATATTATCAAATACTAGACTTTATGATTGGAACAGAATTAGCACAAATCCCATACTAGACTTTGTAAGTAGCAGAATTGTTACAATCCCATACTAGACATTGTAAGTGGCATAAGTATTTCTTGATACCATCCAACACTAAGCATTTCTGGAGGGTCCCTATATACGCTAAATGTGCGCCATCGAGTTTTAGAAAGATTGCAGCTAAATAGAAAATGTATTTATTTATGTATTCCTGCGACCCCTTTATAGGGTTTCATAATTCATTGTAATTGCAGGTCTACTGTAATCAGTACTCTAGTATATATATAACTCAACTAAATTTAACATCGATATCTAGAAAACTAATACTTACATTGGCACTAATATAAGGTACAAGAACACACTAGTAAATTGTCAGAAAAATAGGATGCAAGTATTTTAAAATTGTTCTTACATAATATATTGCACAGTTTAATATGGGAATAAGATTTCAAAGTTGAATTAACTTGAGGTTTATATTTAAGGATATTCTGCTTATGTCATAACATAATCGAAATGTATTTTATTCTGTATAGGACGTGTGTCTGTAGCGTGCAACAAAGAAGGTCCAGTTGGCGGTTACTACGTTTGTTTACGTCACTTCCCCACCTGGAGTGATCGCTAATTCATCACTCCCGTCAACACTTGCATCCCCCACCTGCATCCCCCACCTGCCTCCCTCACCTCCCTCCCTCACCTGCCTCCCTCACCTCCCTCCCTCACCTCCCTCCCCCACCTGCCTCCCTCACCTGCCTCCCTCAACTGCCTCCCTCACCTGTCTCCCTCACCTGTCTCCCTCACCTGCCTCCCTCACCTGTCTCCCTCACCTGTCTCCCTCACCTGTCTCCCTCACCTGTCTCCCTCACCTGTCTCCCTCACCTGTCTCCCTCACCTGTCTCCCTCACCTGTCAACACCTGTCTCCCTCACCTGCCTCCCTCACCTGCCTCCCTCACCTGTCTCCCTCACCTGCCTCCCTCACCTGCCTCCCTCACCTGTCTCCCTCACCTGTCTCCCTCACCTGCATCCCCCACCTGCCTCCCTCACCTGCCTCCCCCACCTGCCTCCCTCACCTGCCTCCCTCACCTGCCTCCCCCACCTGCCTCCCTCACCTGCCTCTCACCTGTAGATATAAAACATAGAACTATGGCAGACTCCAGACGTATTAAACGTCTTCGTGTTTTCTTTTTTTAGGCGCGAGCGATTAATTTTATCGCTCCCAACTCATCCAGGGCTTAGTACCTGTCTGCGAACTATCACATCAAAGGCTTTTTACCTTAACTGCCTAAAACCTAACTATTAGGTGGCGCTTTAATGACAACCGCCTATATTGTTAGGATGATATTATAAGCAACCAGCTGAATGGGAATTTTAAACAAAAGACCCACGCAGTTATATTTTTTATATAACTTTAATATTTAATACATTTGTTTATTTTAATTTGTTCTTTTTTAATTTATTTCAGAGAATAAACGAGAAACAAAGGGAGATCAACAACAAATTTCCTAAAGTAAAACATAAAAAAGTGTGAAAAAAAATAAATAAAAAATAATAAAAATAATAAACTAACGAAAAGGGAACTTGATTTTTTATTACTATGGCTGTGTTGTTTTGTTTCTTACTTCAAAAAGTAAAATGTGTGTGTATATCGTACTAGTTATGTCCCTTGATGTAGAACACTAAACAATGCCTACACACTTAAAACTTTAAATCTGTAAAGACACCTACACACATATACACACACACACATACCTACATAAACACACATTTTTTCATTCCTTTACATACATAAACACTAGGTCAGGTTTTACCCGGTGCGGCACAACTTGGTGTCAACCCAACACCCCCCCCCCCCCAGAAACAAAGTATATATATATATATATATATATATATATATATATATATATATATATATATATATATATATATATATATGTATGTATATATATATATGTATATATATATGTATATATATATATATATATATATATATATATATATATATATATATATATATATATATATATATATATATATATATATATATGTAACTGGGGTAGGCCTAACTACCAGTTACAAATGATAACGAACGAGAAGCCGAGACACAGTGTTGGTCTGATGCAACCGATAACAGGTGGCTTATTGGGTCGGGCTGATAACAACCTCAAAGCCGGCGCGTGCTATTTTGGGAAACGGTATTCAGACGGCCTGTCAACTTTGATGGATAGGACGCAGATGTTATTTTACGGTCTGTACGTTTGAACTACGCAACTGGTGGTCGGAGATCGAGTACAAGTATCGATTACGGAGGAATACAAGTACGGAGACGAGTACGGATACAAGGCATAAATAGGAGGGCACGGCAGGACTCGTTCTCTCTCTTCCCGTTTCAGCGAGCTCTCTTCCATCTTCATCGCTCGCTTAGATCAGTCAGTCTGTGTGACTATGTCAAGTCGGTTATAGAACGGGTTAGCCGTATTGTGTTAAGGAGGATTATAGACATGTGGATTCAGTTATATAAAGCCTAGTGAAGGACTGTTAGGGGTCAGTTGATTCAGACTATTATTGAGAAGCATTCCTGTTGATTTATTGTGTTATTATGAAGCATTTCTTGATTCATGTAATAAAGGATCAATAGCGAACCTGCATCTTGAGTATCTATACTGTGGTCAATGTTGTCTAGAATGAGTGGTTAAACTCGTTAACACGTGGCACTACAGGCAATTAGGTCTCATTACATGTGGCGTTGCGAGCATGGTAACTGTTGGCTCGTTACAATTGGCGTTGTCGGCAGGATAAATGTTCGCTCGTCACAATTGGCGCTGCGATCAGGATGAATTCAACTAGACTTGCCGTTTAAGGCACCTATAGTCAACCTTGTGCATAACTGTGTTTAGTGTGTGTGTGAATTCGGACATTCAGGAACTGTGAAAATTGAGGAACGAGGAAAAATTTTTCATACACACACGGTAAGAAAGAACTCTTTTTTTTAGTACTTAAGGAAGAAAATGTCTACTCTGGACGAGAAGCAGACCCATATAGTGGTCCTACCCAGAGAGTCCCATATTAACAAATTTTACGGGGACGGAGACCCAACTTTAACCAACAGGTTCAGTGAAGAGGTCAAAGCGGCCTGGGCCTCGAGACATATGTCACCAGAGGAAAGATTAAGACTGCTGATGGGCAGTATAGGTGAAACGGTTAGGGCAGAGGTTAAGTGCCACGATAGGACCGTCCAATCAGATCCAGATAAGGTGCTGGATCTGATTATGGAGACCTTTGGGGAGAGACGGTCGGGAGTGCAACTGCTATCGGGATTCGTGGGCTTAAAGCAGAGAATGGCGGAGAGTGTGATGGAGTACTCACACAGGATGAACAGGGCCTTTGATTTGGTAAAGGGCAAATCACCGGACATTGATGTACGCCTACTGAGGGACCATTTCATCGAGGGGCTAGCAACCCCGATCTTAAGGAGAGAGTTGAAAGAGGAGGTCCACAGAGACCAGCAGTTGACCTTCCTTCAGGTCAGGAACTCAGCGATCCGCAGGTCCGAGGATGAGGACCAATCGAACTGTTCGGTGGACAAAGTCTCTGTGCCTGAACAGAGACAATCCCCACCCACAGGGGCCGACACGATGGAGACCATGATGGCTCAACTGTTGGCCCACCTAGAGAAGGTTGACCAACGTTTGGAGAGGTTGGAAAGCAGGTCAACAGCTGAGAATCAGGAAAAGAACGGGACAAAACAGGGACGGGTTGGACGGCCGTGTCCTGCCAAGCCATCACTCCAATGGACGGCAGACGGTCGACCAATTTGTTTGTCTTGTTCACAACCCGGACATATGGCACGGTACTGTCCGGTGAAACGATCGCCCTCTGTAAGGCAGGTCAAGGCTACAGAGCGGCGAGGTAATGACTTGGTAAACAAAATGACAAAGAAACACAGTAAGGAGAAAAAGAAAGGTAAAACACAACTAATGGAAAAAATGAACTGTGAAATGAACTTGAATGTTGAAAAGTGTCAAGTGAACAATTTGTTGGTAGAGAAAAATGATGATAAGAAGAAAATTGGTAGACTTAATAAAGGAATTCAAAGTCTAACCAGGAAACTGGATAGGAAAAGTTCATGCAAATCAAAAGCACAGGAGAAATGTTCATCTTTAAAGTGTCTGTTATCGGAAGAAGTAAATAAAAATATTAGACAACAGAACAGTGTTGGCAAACTAGAAGGAATGAAAGAGTCTCAAACAAGACTTGAAGAAAAATTATCAGATATTGAAAAAGAACTTCAAATTACAGCAAGGCTGGGATCCATCGAACAGCGATGGGCAGCAGAATTGGCACTCGTTGACCTAGAGAGAAAACATCGCCCGGGGCGGTCCAATGGCAATGCGGACGCCTTATCAAGGAATCCTTACGAGAGACCGGGTGATGAGGAAGAAACACTGACAGGAATATGTGAGGTCAGAGCGTCAACAGATATCCCTCATGGGGTACAAGTGATGCAAAACGGGCAGACCGGGGTGGAGCACATATCCACGGAACCCGAACATATGGACAGTAGTGATTTTAATTGCCTTAATCACCAAAAGATAAGAGATGCCCAGAGAACGGATAGTGGCTTA